CCAACAGCCCTGCGCACTCACTGTCATCAGGCTGCACCCCTGCACCCGCTGCCAGACTCACCTCCTCTCCCAGACGCACCCCCATCTCTTCACTGACCCGCTTGGCGACTGACATGGCTGCCACTCTGCGGGGCTGGGTGCAGCCGATCATGCCATAGTCTGTGTAGCCATCCTCATGGAGGTACTGTGTCAGCTGAGTCGTCTTCCCACTCCCCGTCTCCCCCACCACAATCACGATGCTGTTGTCTCTAAAGAAAGGGAAAAAGTATTTCTTCATACACCACAAAGAAGGGCTTTTGCATTCACAGCCCTGGCTGGCCACCAGAGCATCACTCCACTCAGCCAAGAGAGCTGCCACCAACCACGCAAAGCAACAGGCTTTTCCTGGGGGTATAGCTTCCAAACAGGCCATGTATCTAGGAGAATTTTTCACTTGGATTCCTGAGATGTAGGCCAATGCCCTGGGGATGCTCTATGACCAGCTCCCTCGCAGCCATACCTGAGGATGGAGAGCAGCTCCTGCTGCACAGCAAAGATGGGCAGGTATTGCCTCTGCTCCAGGATTGATTTCTTCTTGGCGAACTCGCTGCTGGCTTCACTTTTTTCTTTCATGTGTTCAGCAAACTTCTGCTCAGTCCTAAGAAAACACCAGAAGTCCTGAAACTGCTTTCTGCACACACTTTGCTATGCCTACAGCCCCGTCAGCGGCTGAGCAGGAGTGATTCAAAGCAAGCTCCTACTTGTAATCCACTTTGCCATCTTCTGTCACCATCTCGTCCTTCTCCTCCTCTTTCTTGATCCCCATAATGTCTCCCAGTTTTGTGCCTGCCAGCTCCCAGTGCTTATGCTGAGCCTGGAAGGACAGAGAGCAGCACAACTTTGCCACAGCAAGCACTGACAAATCACTCTTCTCCAATCCTACTCATAAAACTACAAAAGCATATTAGCCCCGCAATTCCCCCGTGCTACAATGCAGAATGCACACCCTGTCCCTAGATCAAGTGCCCCTCTTCCAAGTGAGCTGGAGCAGAGCTTTTAGACACTGCTCTGGATACAGAGCCTTCAGGCCCAGGATGACTAACCACCTCCTAAGAAAATGGTTCCAGCTGCTGACCCTTCCATTAAATTCAAACCTAAACCTACACAGGTCTGAACCAGAGATAATCTTCCTGCTCTTGGCAGGTGCTCACAGGGCTCTCTCCCACTTCCCTGTTTGCTCTCGCCTCTGGTATCAGTTTAGCTTCCACCTCCATTCCACTCATAGTATACGTAACTCAAATCCAGCTCAGTATCAGTTTACAAGGAACACATCTGTGCTTTCCCCACAGCTATCACATAAGCTTTAAAGCCCCTAGAAAACACCCCCAAAAACTAATATGCTACCTTACTGCATGCTCCTCTTCACAACTCTTCTGCTGAGACATGACAAGATATATCCTGCCACCATACTGACTGCTGACTGTCCCTAAGCTACCTCTCAATTCTTCCACCTGCTCTCTTCTCCCCAGATCCGAATGTCCTTTGGATCAGACTCCTCTGCACAAGTGCACAGTGATTCATGTCCCAAGGCAGTAACTGGGAAATCGTATCGCAGCAGCTGCTTATGAGACAATGCAACGAGCTGGGCCGCCAGGATATCCCAGGTCATAAAAATAAAAACTCCTTATCGTCATTGCCACCAAAGCCTGTATTCTGCAAAGTCCACAGGCTGTGAGGCACTACCTAACGTGTACAGCGGGGTAGTAAGCCAAAAGATCACAGCATACCCTCTTACGCTCCTTTTGCTCCCTGTGCTTGCGCACCAACTGGCTGCCTTTCCGGGCTATGATGGCCAAATCTGAGGTGGCATCCTTGACAGGGATGACTGGCTCTGGCTAGAGGAAAGAGGTATTGCTTCAGTACTTCATACTTGTGGGGCTCCCCGCCACCAGCACCTTCAGCCACAGTCTCTACCTGCTTGGTGAAGACAATCCTTCCATCTAGGAAAGGGGGCACTAGGTTGTGTACCAACAGATGCACTTTAGCAGAGTTATCCTCCTCAAAATCTTCATCCACTTCAATCCGATGAACCACACCACTGGTCAGCATGCGATTCGCCTCCCAGCGCTCATTATCCTGCAGGGAACAACATCAGAAAATACACAGAAGCCTCACAGAAGGCCCAAGAGATCACACCAGAACACTGAGCTCTGGGCCCTGCACTGACAATAGGACGACACTGATGGTTCCAGCCTAGGGAGCCTGAAAGTAAGCACTAGGGAAGAAAGAGTAACTGGAAGCAGCAGGGCAGGGAAAACACAGATGGGCCATATGAAGCACATGGGCAACAGCACTCTCTCCAAGAAAATGCAGGACAGACATTGTCCACTCAGAACACGCCAGGAAGCCTGGACATAATCCCGCTCAGGGGCTGAGGGCACCGGCCCCCAGCATTCACTGGGCCAACAGTAGACAACCCTAGTAATGTAACTCACACCCCAGAACAGCAGGAGCATAGCCCTCTGCACTCCTGCTGCCCTGGACACTGCGATCCACCGCAGTCACTCTGACTGTGAATTCTGCCCCACACAGGAAATGCAGGGTGCACTTTCTGGGAGAACTTAACAGCAGTTTCCCTGTGAGCCCTTGTTCAGCCTGGGCCAGGACGCAGACTGTTCTTCCCCACCCAAGAGCGAGGGCTCAGCCTTTGCTGCCAGAAAGTGGGTCTCTCAAGGGGCAGCACAACAAGCAGTGCCCACATGTTCAGAGCAGCCAACCCCACATCTTGCCCCTACCTCATTGATCTGCCGCCGCTGTGCCGAGATGCGCTTCTGCCTCTGCTTGTGCAAGTGCTGCTCCCGCTTCTTCACATACTCCTCAGAGGAGTAAGCCAAGGGGTTGTGAAACTCGTCATAGCCCTCATCCATCATGTACCAGTCCCGGTCAGCTTGCTGGGAGGAAGGAGGTGCAGCCCTGAGCTCCCCGGGCAGGGCTGGCCCCTCCCACCACTCCCCATCTGGCTGCTGGAGGGAGCCCACCTGCCACCCCACCGCTCCCACCGGCAGCCCCACGGCCCAGCCCAGCAGCCCCCAGCCCACTTCTCGCCTGCCTTCAGGCTCTCACCCGCTGGTCATCCTCCCACTGCTGCCGCTCCTCCTCCGTCTCAAAGGCAATGCCTTCCTCCCCATCTGCACGCCGCCCTGGAGGGGGTGGGCTGGTCAGTCCAGGTGCCAGCCCTGCTGCCGCTCCAGAGGAAATCCCACAGAACCCAACCTCGGGCTTCGCAGGGGAAGGGGATTCCACCACTGCCCAGCCTAGGCAGCTCTGCCCAGGCTCCTCACCTCTCCCTCTGGACAGCCGTGGTGTAGCCCCCAGGTGTCTCCGGTCGTCAGCCCACTCATTGTATTTGTATGATGGGGTGGGCAATGGCGTCTTATCCGTGTACCTGCTCCTCACAGACCTGAAAAAACAGCATGAGAAAGAAATTGGTGCCCACAGCCAGGCACTACTCTTACACACACCCTCCCCTTTCTGCAGCTCAACAGCTCATAGCCGCAGCCCCCAGCACTGATACCTGTCCCGGTCTCTCCGGTCCGTGTCCCGCAGTGATGATGCCCGGTGGCTGCGCTCTGAGTCTCGATAGGAAGGCACGGGTGAGGGAGATTCCCACTGGGAGCGGCGGGGGCTGCTGTAGCCACCATCATCTTCCTCCCAGCTGGAGCGAGATGGCGTGGCTGCATCTAGCAGAGACAGGATGGCAGCTGATGTTCAAAGTGACCCCAAGCACCTAGAGCCACCTTACACCTTTTAGCAAGGAGCACGGAAAGAGGGTACCCATTTGTCCTCCCTCCAAGGGGCTGACCCAGTGATTCCAAGGAAAATTGCCAAAGGACCACATTTCTATTGCACAGACCCAAAACACACCCCACTGCGCAGAGATCAGCCAGATTTTCACAGACACAGCTAGCAGACTGCTCCCAGACCCAGGCTGAACTAGGAGTTTTATGCTTGCCCTAACCAAAAATATAGGCTTTTCTACCCACACTTGTCCTGACAAAACCAGCAAGAAACAAAAGAAAAAAAAAACCCAAGCCCCTTCTTGTTAGGCCTCACACAAGAACTCTACTGGGTCCCAATCCTACCTTTGGGCCGATGTCTGGGACTCTCTGGTTCACTTCTTTTGCTGCTCCGCTCTGATGAGCCATCTCTCTCTGATCTGCTGCTGTGACGGTTTCTGTCCCGCTCCTCTGTGAAAAGAAAGTACGGTCAGGTGGGCAGTGCACAAACGGGCTTCCCAAAACTGCTGCAGAAAATACCAGGAACATTAGCCAAGGACTACAAACAGCCTGAGGGACAAGCCCAAACCCCAGGCAGGAAGAGTCACAAAGGTCTCTGAGAAGTTACCACGGTCCCGTTTACGATCGTGGTCCCGATCCCTACTGCGCTCCTTCTTTCGTTCCTTCTCCTCCTTGGAGGAGGCAAAGACACCATGTTCCCGACGCTCCCTTTCCCGCTGCCGGCTGCGTTCCCAAAACTCCTCGCTGACACCCCCAGTGTAGGATGGTGTTTCCACATGGACAGAACGGTAATGCCTGGAAAAGCAGAGCAGAGGAAGAAAAGCTCAACAGTGCTGAGGAATAGCTGGCCTTTGACTTGTCTGACACAACTCTGGCTCTAACCTCTACTACAGTGGAAGCTTATGGCTAAAAGTGTTCTCTCCATCCTTTGCTAACAGCCCACCAAGTCCGCTGATGCTCTCAGACACGCACACTTCTGAGCAGGCCACTGCCTCCAGGCATCCGGAAGCAGACAAGTCTCACAACTGGGATGACCGGTGTTTGCAGGCCTAAGAGCATCTAAAAGCACTCCTGCCCACAACACCTCAGGGAGGGCACCAGTGAAAGGGCTTTTCCCAGACCTCCTCAGCCGTATAGAGCTCCTCCCCCAAGGAGATCTCCAGACCTCCCCACCACACAGGGTGTTACAGCCGCCACAGGAACTGACAGCGCTCGCACCCGCGCTCACCCTCGCTCCCCCCGGCAGGGATCCGACCGCTG